GGGAGCACAGACTGCTCCACGGCCACTGGACACTGCCCTCGCCTCAGTTCTCTTCACTCTGGTTGCTGCCATGATGGCCATCAGCAAGTGTGAGACCCCAGATTCCCCTCTCTCAGGCACCCTCATCTCTACCACTGACCCCTCCCAGGACTCAGCAAGTAGGAACCACCTACTCACTAACTCCAGAGAAAAAGAAAAACATCCCACATGACATCCTGTTACACAACTACAAACTCACTGACCTGGTGAAATCAGGGGGCAGAACCACAGCGCAGTCTCTGGAGAAGAAGCAAGGACAAAAGGCTGGGCGTCACGGAGGCAAATGCCTTCTCTTGCCTCAGCACCCCCTCCGCTGGCCCTGGCTGCGTCAGAGGAGCTGTTGGGGCTTTCTCCGGCCTCATCAGGTGTGTGCTCAGAGGTGGTAACCCCCACAGAGTCTCCACGTGGTAATGAGGCTCTGCTGGAGAATTTTCGTAAGCAGAAAAAACACCTTGGATCAAACGGAGCAAGCGTGGGCTCTGGGGTTAGATAAGCCTGGATGTGAATCTGGGTTCTGCCCTGAACTGTGAGACCCTGGGCAAATTACTGAACCTCTTTAAGTTCTAGCCCTTATCCATGAAAAGAAACAAAACAAAACAAAACCCTCCTAATTTGCCAGAATTCTTGAAAAAACTAAATGAGAAAGTGCCTTGGCCGGGCACCATGGCTCACGCCTGTAATCCTAGCACTTTGGGAGGCCTAGACGGGTGGATCACCTGAGATCAGGAGTTTGAGACCAGCCTGACCAACATGGTGAAACCCCGTCTCTACTAAAAATACAAAAAAATTAGCTGGGCATGGTGGCAGGTGCCTGTAATCTCAGCTACTAGGGAGGCTGAGGCAGGAGAATTGCTTGAACCTGTGAGGTGGAGGTTGCAGTGATCCAAGATCATGCCACTACACTCTAGCCTGGGCGAAAGTAAAACTGTCTCAAAAAAAAAAAAAAAAAAAAAAAGAAAGAAAGAGAAAAAAAAGAAAGTGCCTGGCATTTTTACAAGCTCAGCAAAGTCCCAGAACAAATTAATCATAAAGTAATGAACAAAGATGCAATAAAATGAGTTAGCCCTCATTTGAAAATTCATCGAATACTGCATCAACACTTTCATATGTTCTTAAAGCACCAGACCCTAGCAGTAATATGTGCCCTGCAGAGCATACTTTTTTTTTGAATTGCCATTTAATACATGCTTGAAGACTTCAATGACTTTGTCTCCCAATTTTTTCTTTTTCTTTCAAGACAGGGTCTCACTCTGTTCCCCAAGCTGGAGTGCAGTGGCATAATCACAGGTCAGTGCAGACTCCCACTCATGGGCTTAAGCAATCCTCCCACCTCAGCCTCCCAAGCAGCTGGGACTACAGGCCCATGCCACCACATCCAGCTATTCTTTTTCTGTTTTTTGTAGAGATGGGGATCTCGCTATGTTGCCCAGGCTGGTGTCTCCCCAAATCTTAATGTCAACAAGCAGTTCAGAGGCTTTCATCTGAACAGGCAGCTCTGGAAGTTCCCATGTGGGGCTAGCCTTGCTCAAAGGCCAAGAACGATCCAGGTCACCTCCTAATCCTTTTTCTTTTTAACGGAACCTGTGAGCAAACCTGGAAGTGCCTGCTTGCCATGGTCCACACCTTCTAGAGCAAACTCAGTCTCCTGGCTACCAAGGAGGCCTAACACACTCTGGAACAAAAATCAACAAACACAATCTTTAAAAGAATAAAAGCTCTAAGCAAACAGTTTAAAACTCACGTGAAGTATGCGTGCATGGATAAACATGAGAAGAGGGCATGGCTTGTACGAAACCCCACTTTTCTTTAATGGATCAGTGTCAAACTCATCGCGGAGAGTAAACACACTTAGCACTAAATATATCCTTCGAATCAAATCCTTTGGATTAATTTATTTTAAATCTGGAATATGCCTGGCTCTACAGCTGCCACGTTTCCTAGAAGGTTTACACAACACAGTACATATCTGGATCACTGCTCCTAAAATTAGTAGATGAATCTGTCTGGCTTTATTTAAATCTGAAAAAAAAAAAAAAAACAGGATAAGAAACGGGCTTCCCAATCTCTCCTCAGTAGAGCCCCTGTCTTTTCTCTTCCTTTTCTTATCTTGTCTTCAGTATATCTGAGCGGCTAATCATTAAATCATCTGTAACTATCAGGAGATTCCAAATGTCCCACCTTTCTTAAACAAAGGGTACGAAGAACAGGTGGGAAGGCAGTCACATTAGAAGGAAGGGTTTAAACACAATGAGCCAGAGAGAAGGGCACAAATTGAAAGAGAACAGTAAAAGCCACAGATTTTCTGGTATGTTTCAGTGAAAATCTTCCAGCAAAGGAGCTTTTTTTTCCCCCCAGTTTGAAACTTTTATCTGTGTGTCATGCTCTAAGAATCTAAAAGCAAAGGATCCTTTACTTATAATCTAGTAGAATGTGAGTGTGATCTAGCTGTGATGTCAATTTCATCACTCCTCTCCGTGAAGGATTCGCTTATCTGGCACCCGTGAGCAGGAATTCCATCCTCACTACTCCACACACATCTCTCCCGCTGTGTGCTTTGCTCCGAAGAAGACAGGATGGTTCTGAGGTGAGGGGAGGAGTAGGGCACTGATCTCATTCTAGGAAAACATCACATTCTATTATCCTGGACACAAATCATAACACTTGGTGACACGAGCTTCAGAGAATCCGTGAAAATCACCAAGGCCTGAGTATCCACACAAAGGACAGGATTCAGTTCTCATGATTTCTCGTATCACCAGTGAGTGTAGACCGTGTCTATAATCACCTCTTCCCAATGGTGCACACTTTTAAATGATGTGAGCTGCTGGTTCTATTTTACCCTTCCTGTTGTAACGTTTAGTTCCTATGCTCTTTTTTAAATACCTTCACTGACATGTAATACCATTCACCCATTTAAAGCATATGACTCAGTGGTGTTTGTTATAGCCATAGAGTTGTGCAACCATCACCATGATCTCATTTTTAGAACATTTCCATCACCCCAAAGACAAATCCACTACCCACCATTTCTCTCCCTTCTCACAGCCCTAGGCAACCATCAGTTTACTTTCAATAGCTCTGAATTTGCCTGTTTAAAGCATTTCATGAATCCTTTGTGACTGACTTCTTCCTCTCAGTATAACACTTTCAAAGTTCGTCCATGTTGCAGTATATATCCATAGTCCATTCCTTTTTATAGCTGAATAATATTCCATTGAATGGACATACCATATTTTATAAATCTATTCTCCATTGATGAACATTTGGTTATTTACATTTTAGGCTATCACTAATAATGAAGAAATATGCACATACAAGTTTTTATGTGGACATAAGTTTTCATTTCTCTTGGTTATATACCTAGGAAGGAGATGCTGATTCATATGGTAACTCTATGTTTAACTAAATTTAAGGTCCTTATGCTCTTTTACCTTTTTTTATTGAAAAAAAATTTCAAACTCTAACTTAGGAAGTGAAAAGTTTCTTAAAATGAACTACTCACCCCACAGGAAAAACCACTGTAAACAGTGTGGTATACACTCTCCCAATTTTTTTTTTTTTTTTTTGAGATGGAGTTTCGGTCTTGTTGCCCAAGCTGGAGTGCAATGGCACGATCTCAGCTCATCATAACCTCTGCCTCCTGGGTTCAAGCAATTCTCCTGCCTCAGCCTCCCCAGTAGCTAGGATTACAGGCATGCACCACCACACCCAGCTAATTTTTGTATTTTTAGTAGAGACGAGGTTTCACCATGTTGGTCAGGCTGGTCTCAAACTCCCGACCTCAGGTGATCTAACTGCCTTGGCCTCCCAAAGTGCTGGGATTACAGGTGTGAGCCACCGCACCCAGCCCCAATTTTTTTTTAATGGGATCACATTAAACATAATTTCCCTATCCCACTCTTGTTGCTTAACAGGACATCCTGGACTCCTCCGCTTACCATATGAGGAGAAAAAACTGGATGTTCATCTTTCTCCTCAGTCATAGGTCCAGGCACATTTTCATTACTGGCTAGAAAAGTGCAATGCCAAATAAGCTGACTAAGGGACGTTTCATTCTGTCATCTCACTCTGTGCACTGTAGTCAGTGCACTTGTAGGTGATTTTGTGTCCATCCCTCTGGGGACTTCACTTGTTGATGAGTTTTAGAAGACTTGGGTCTAAGTAGAAAAACTAGAAATTTTACTGGACTTAACACTGATTCCCCTTAAAAAAAAAAAAAAAAAAAGGCTGAATAGGAGGTAAGTGTAAGATCAACGTGGGTCACCCCTTTATGTCTAGATCTATTATTTCCTATTGGTTTTCTTAAATTAGAAAATTAATATATTAATACATATGTAATTGTAAAATAATAATTTTCTAACAATCAACAAGTAGAAAGCCTTCTACCTCCCCAAATCCTACTCCCTTCTCCGTGGAATTTTACAAGTTCAGAGTTTAACCTTTCAGATCTTTTTCTACACCCACCTTTTTACACACCTGGAAATTTTTATGAAAAAAATACATTTTTTAATTTACCTTTTCTTTTATAAATATTTCCAAGTCATATGTCTAGATTACTACAAGTTGAATTTGAAAAATAACAGATGAGTACTTTGCAACAATTGAACTGCTGGAGCTCCAAACTGAATTGTATTGTCAGAGCAGAAAGGGTTGTTTTAGAAAGAAACCAAGTACTAACATGGTATACTTAGGAGTACAACCTCCACAATGAAGCCACATTCATTTGGGTGCCCCTGTGTGCCCAGCACAACGCGAGGGGCAGGAGAAATATAAAATGGACTTGCATAGTCGGAGGCTTCAGGAGCACTAGACCTCCAGGCAGCAGCCAGCAGGGTGCCCAGACACTGACTATGCCCAGAGGAACCGCTCCTTTGCACAAGAGATGGCAGTCAGCTAGCCTTTGCCTGTCTCCAGTTCCACAACTCAGGTGCAAAGACATGCATCGCAATGGTGACACTTACTTTAGGCCGGGTGTCAACGACATACACGAAGTCACTTCCTGGATTGGCTTTCCTAATGGCCTGGAGCATCTGCTCGTCCTCTAGGCACCGAGCACTGAAGCCGGACAGGGGCTGGCTGCTCCGGCAGATGGAGGCCTAGGGGGAGAGGTCACAGCAACACAGCACCATCAGGTAACTGTACCCATGAGAGACACTCCGTGTGTGTCTCCGGAACAAAGAGCCCTTGGCTCACCGATAGTCCGCCTCGGCTTATGAACACGTGATACAGCTTTCTAGAAACCAAGTGTTGTTTATTTTTAATTCAAGTCAAAGAAACCACTAATGGGCAAACAATACAAAGGGCCTCTCTGTGCAAAATATTAGGAATGTGTAGAGATATTTAGATAGGATCTAAGTTATGACATTCAAAACCATTTAAACAACCTACTTTCCTTTTCACTGGTATTGTTTCATTTTCCTGCTGAAAAAAGAAATACAAAATAAATAACCGTTCTCCTCAAATGTACAGGATACTATTAATGGCAAGATTAGTAGAATAAAAATTATTTTTTAATGCTTTCCAACCTTTTTTTTTTTTTTTTTTTTTTTTTAACTAGCCCATCTAGAAACATCACAAATACCAAAAACCAGTTCTACTTCTAAACAGGAAACTTTCACGGTGACGAGAGCCCAGGTCGCTTCTAGGTTTGATACCGAAGGACAGCAGGCACATACCTACGCTGACTCAAGTCTATATAGAATGAGGGGTTTTTTTTGGGAATCAATCTGCATTCTCTGCCGCAAGTCCCCTACCCTGCAGTTCTGAAGAGTATACTGCACTGTCAGATGGTATCTAGAAGAGCAGAAACATTTCCCTGAGTTATGAACACGTGTACAAATCTGACCTTGCAGCTATAAACCTTAGGCTTTTGTGGCAAAGTACTTTTACGGATCTAGGTGTTGTTTTTTGTTTTTTTTTTTTTTTTTTGAGATGGAGTCTTGCTCTGTCACCCAGGCTGGAGGGCAGTGGCTTGATCTCAGCTCACTGCAAGCCTCCGCCTCCTGTGTTCACGCCATTCTCCTGCCTCAGCCTCCCGAATAGCTAGGACTACAGGCGCCCGCCACCTCGCCCGGCTAGTTTTTGTATTTTTAGTAGCTCGCCCGGCTAGTTTTTTGTATTTTTAGTAGAGACAGGGTTTCACCGTGTTAACCAGGATGGTGTCGATCTTCTGACTTTGTGATCCGCCCACCTCAGCCTCCCAAGGTGCTGGGATTACAGGCGTGAGCCACCGCGCCCCGCCAAATCTAGGTTTTAACATTTAAATTAAACACAAAACACCCAATAAAATGCATGAATGACTCAAAGCATCTACATTGAGACTGTAAGTCCACAGTGTGAAAGAACGCAGGCAGTGACAGAAGCCCTCCATGCAGGATAATACGGAGGGGAAAGTTTCACTGCAAATAGTCCTGTCATGTCACAGCCTGTTCAGGGTGCCTGCACTGCAGGGTTCCATCCGTGAAGGGGCACCCCAACTCTTAGCCCAACCATAGCTTAATTGTCTTTAAAGCCCAACCCAGGACAACTTAGCATGGGTTTGGATCTCTCCAAAGGGTTTGGGTGCTCCTTGTTGGAAAAGGTGGGGACATTTCTTACTAGCTCTGAAGCTGGAGAACCACAGAATGGCTGGACATACTACGGGGCCAGTGTCTGAGGGTGCCAGCACTATTTTGCAGAGACGGATAATCACTAGCAGGTTAAAGGAAGCCTGAGGCCTACAGCCAGGTTCAGAAATCAGGGGGACAAGGTGTGGGAGTGGGAAGCAAAGCAAAGGAGCAGCAGAGTCACTCCAGAGTGGCTCACTCCTGACTGGTGGGGAGGAGAAAAAGGTGAGAGGGTGTGAGCACGGCAGACAGAACAGCAAGCAATGGCGAGGCCAGGAGCAAGGGGAAGTGAAGGTGGGGATCAAGAGGGACTTGGCGAGCAGAAGGCAAGCTATGTCCGAGGACCAGAAAGCAAATGATACACATGGCTTTCACGGGGGTCCTGTTTGCTTTGATCTTTAAGGGGTCAGGGTCTGCCACCTGCTCAGAGGGAATTCTGCCTGGAAAGAGAATAATTCTGAGTTGGCTTTAGATGATACTTTATCCAGGTTAAAGAAATATTAGTTGGCCCAGTGCGGTGGCTCACGCCTATAATCCCAGCACTTTGGGAGGCCGAGGCAGGCGGAGAACTTGAGGACATGAGTTCAAGACCAGCCTGGCCAACATGGTGAAACCCTGTCGCTACCAAAAATACAAACATTAGCTGGGCGTAGTGGTGCACACATGCAATCTCAGCTACCCAGGAGGCTGAGGCAGGGGAATCGCTTGAACCTGAGAGGTGGAGTATGCAGTGCGCTGAGATCGCACCACTGCACTCCAGCCTGGGCGACAGTGAAACTGCATCTCAAAAATTAAAATAAAAAAAATTAAAAAGAGAGGAAGAGACTGGGCGCGGTGGCTCAAGCCTGTAATCCCAGCACTTTGGGAGGCCGAGACGGGCGGATCACGAGGTCAGGAGATCAAGACCATCCTGGCTAACATGGTGAAACCCCGTCTCTACTAAAAAATACAAAAAACTAGCCGGGCGAGGTGGCAGGCGCCTGTAGTCCCAGCTACTCAGGAGGCTGAGGCAGGAGAATGGCGTAAACCTGGGAGGCGGAGCTTGCAGTGAGCTGAGATCTGGCCACTGCACTCCAGCCCGGGCGACAGAGCGAGACTCCGTCTCAAAAAAAAAAAAAAAAAAGAGAAAGGAAGAAAGAAAGAAAAAAAAAGAAATATTAGTTAAGGACAGCTGCCACCAGACAATCTTAGATTCCATCAGAAGGGTTAGATGGGGATGGGGACATATTTAAATGGTGAGAATCTGAGAATGCACACACCAAAACTCACTAAAGTAGTGAGACACCAATTATGAAAAGAAGCAATTTAGGGACAACAACTATTTCAAATTATCTTCTGGTTTAGAACATATAGTTTTAAATAAGGAACTATATTGGAACTGTTATACTGTGGAATGTGGTCGATTAATTAAAACACACATATTAAACAGACTACATTTTTGGTATTTTGTAGTTAGATTTTCTTAATAAAGATATGCTCTAAATGGAATTTTTCATTGATTCAGTCATTGCTAACATGTGGTTTTCAATTTTGTGCAAAACGGTAAGTAGTCTCAATGCTTTTGTGCACCTATACACACCCTAGGCAGATTATGCAAAGAGTGTTACTACTACTTGGCAGCATTTCTTACTGATGTTGGAGCACAGATTAAAAACTCTTCAGATATAAACCGTAAAGGATAGCACTCATTTACAACGCTACTAATGATTAAAATATTCAACATTTTTGATGGCTTACTACTGCTCTTGAGTGTTTATATGATAGGCACTATTATAAGAACTTTGCACATGTTTATTTAATTAGCCTAATTATCATATACAATAAGACCTATTATTTGCTCCACTTTACACATGAAGTTACCAAGGCATGGAGAGGTTAAGTAACATACTCAAGGTCACGCAGTTAATAAATAGGGAAGCCAAGATTTAAATCCAGAGTATTTCCTGATTCTGAATTCTTAACAAAGTAATATAAGCCCCGATGGGGAGAAACAGGTCAGGCAGCACAATACAACATTAAGATACAGCATAAAGCCGGGCGCGGTGGCTCATGCCCGTAATCCCATCACTTCTGGAGGCCGAGGCAGGTGAATCACCAGAGGTCAGCAGTTCGAGACGAGCCTGGCCAACATGGTGAAACCCATCTCTACCAAAAATACAAAAATTAGCCAGACATAGTGGTGCACGCCTGTAATCCCAGCTGCTTGGGAGGCTGAGGCAGGAGAATCGCTTGAACCTGGGAGGTCGAGGCTGCAGTGAGCTGAGATCACGCCACTGCACTCTAGCCTGGATGACAGAGTGAGACTCCATCTCAAAACATAAAGATGCAGCACGAAGACCTGGCTTTCAGTCCCAGTTGTGCTCTCACTCACTGTATGATCTTAGGTAATTTATGTGTCTTCTCTGATCCTCAGTTTTCTCATCTATAAAATGGGTCAAATATTAAAACTACAGGGTGTGATAAGGGGCATAACACTGTAAAACTCCTGGCACTGTGCCTAACACATAGGAAGTTTCAATAAGCGTTCAGTATAAAAAGAGACCAAGAAGGTCTGTATTTTTCCTAAGGAAAGTTGCCTCACTGGAAATCTTCCAGAGTTTTATTTCCTAGAAATGTGTACTGTAAATTTGGGAGACCAAGCTGCGCACCATGTTAAAGCAAAACTTAAAAAAAAAAATCGTAACATGATAAAGAACAAAGGATATAGCAATTCTAAGAACTATCACAGAAAGATACACAGAATTCTGAACGCACATGACTAAGCATCTCTAAGCATGATCTGTAAAGCTGTTAATAACCGGACATTCAAAGGGAGGCCACATGGCTCTACATAACCCGTGCGGTAAGGCCTAAAATGAGTATTATGGGTTGCTTCGACATCTGGTAAAACTGAGAGGGTCTCACATGGCTTCACTGCAAGTTCCCTGCCACGCTCTGCTCCTGCAGATAAGGTTCTCGAGTGAAACAATTCTTATCCAGCAGACCAGGTGCAGCTCCTGCCCGTCCCTCGGTAGCAGGTTTCAGTTCCCCGCCAGCCATGGAATGATGCACCCAAGCTAATCGCATCCTCCTGCAGGAACCAAGGGTGACCCCATGCTCCTGATACTACAGATCCTGCCTCTCACAGCCCCTGGCTGTCACTCTGCTCCTCAGTGCAACCTCATGTGCCCATTCATGGGCTGTGGTGTCCTCCTCCCCTTGGCAGTGAGTATATGTGACCAGTAAAATTGCTGTTCATCTCACCTGCCCAGTGTCAAGTGCTGTGTCTGGCTGTCCCTATAACCTAGAGCAGGAATCCCTCCCTCACCACGGGGGTGAAAGAACGTGATCATATCCATTAAAAATAATGGCAAAACCCGCAATTACTTTTACACCAACCTAACACTACGTATGGTAACAGCTGATACAAAGGGAATGATGGAACCTCAGCAGGGGCCTTTATATCAAACAGAACTTCAGGTTCATAAAATCATGTAAATTTCAAGCTTCTCCTAATCTAGTCAATTCCCAGTGCCCAACATTAGGCACGTCATCTCACCACCACAATCAGAAGCATCCCTTTGGTAACATACGTGGGAAACACTATCTTCACTATAAAATGTAGCATCCTTATTCATCAGCATAAATTCTTTTTTTTTTTTTTTTTTTTTTTTTTTGAGATGGAGTCTTGCTCTGTCACCCAGGCTGGAGTGCAGTGGCCGGATCTCAGCTCACTGCAAGCTCCACCTCCCAGGTTTACGCCATTCTCCTGCCTCAGCCTCCCGAGTAGCTGGGACTACAGGCGCCCGTCACCTCGCCCGGCTAGTTTTTTGTATATTTTTTTAGTAGAGACGGGGTTTCACTGTGTTAGCCAGGATGGTCTCGATCTCCTGACCTCGTGATCCGCCCGTCTCGGTCTCCCAAAGTGCTGGGATTCCAGGCATGAGCCATAAGCATAAATTCTTTCGGGGTAGGAATACATACTCGTCAGCCTATAATGTCTCAAATAACCAAAGAGAAGAAAGATCAGCAAATGTATGGAATGTGTACCTGTTCACTGTTTCTGGGGGACTGCCTGCTTTCTATTCGGCCATCCCCGAGCAATGGCAGCACAGATAACTACTCTGGTGTTTCAGTGTCTTCCATGAAGCACAGAAATCCACACCTTTGGTAATAAAACTTCCCTTTAGAAAAAGCCCTAGTCAAATCAGAAGCATTTATATAATTAACCTCGATATTAAAATGTAAACATTGTTACAAAACACAAATTTGATCATTATTCTACCTGCAAAATAGATTTCAGTCCATGGGGTAGGAGAGTGGGTGGGCAAGTGTGTGCTCACTCAGGACTTCCCTGGGGTAACCCGATCACGCAGCACTGCTTCGAAACACATCTCCGTTCTGTACCTTGGAAGAAGAGCTAGAGCTTCAAGGCGTTTCTGCTTTAAAATCTTAAATATGGGAAATGAATACTCACAAGCTCTAACCATGCTGTGTGAGTTCATTTTCAGGCCTGGAGGTTCGGTAAAGAATAGCACTTGGGGGAGCAGGCGTGGAGCTATGTGAGTCTGAGGTCAGCCGGGGAAGAAGCCGCCTCTGAGGTCTAATTGCTAAAAACTCTCTCCTTTCCGAGACAATACACGTTTAATCCTGATACTACTCACACCGACAAAAAGCAAAAGGTCCCTTGTCTCAAGAATATAAAAAGGGAGGTGCTACGCACACTGTGCTCACTTTTTAAATATTCTACAGACAACAACAAAACACCTCTGAAACAACAATAAAAGATCCTTTCTCCCTCTCCTGGATTCATCTTCTCTCTTACTTCTGTAATCAATGCATGCTACAAAAAAAAAGTGCATGTTACCAGTATCCTAATTTCAAGTGCAACATCATGAAATTTCATATCTCTATTTATTCTATCTTTAAAAAAAAAAAAAAAAAAAAAAAAAAAAGCCAGGCATAGTGGCTCACGCCTGTAATCCCAGGACTTTGGGAGGCCGAGGCAGGTAGATCTCTTGAGCACAGGAGCTTGAGACCAGCCTGGGCAACATGGCTTTCCTTGTCTCTACAAAAAACGCACAAAAAATTAGCTGGGCTGGGGGCACACACATGGTCCCAGTGACTCGGGAGCCTGAGACGGGAAGATCACTTGAGCCTGGGGAGGTCAAGGCTGCAGTGAGCCAAGATTGTGCCACGGCACTCCAGCCTGGGAGACGGAGTGAGACCTTGTCTCAAATAATAAAATAAAATAAAATAAAATATAAAACAGCCAGCCCAGGCAACACAGCAAGACGCTGCCTCTACAAAAAGTGATCTTCTCTACAAAAACATTTTTTTAAACTTAGCAGGTGTGGTGGTATGTACCTACAGTACTAACTGCTTGTGGGGATGGGACACGAGCAGCCCTTGAGCTCTTAAGAGTTTGCTATGTTAGTGCCACTGCACTCCAGCCTGGGTGACAAAGTGAGACTTTGTCTCAAAAAAAAAAAAAAAATCACATCTTCCTTTGCCTCTAACCAGTGCTCCAGCTCTGTGTAGGCTGAAATATATTTGGAGTTAATAAAATACTTTAAACCCTAATTCAGGGCTAGAAAAAGAAGAAGAGCAATGAATGCAACTAAAAATAAGATAACTTTTATCCTACCAATTCACAGAACTTTCACCACTAAATGAATATTTTCCTTCAAAGTAGCCAACAGAGAAGGCTATGTGCTCACTCTGATGAAGCTGGCATTGCTCAAGATATTTGGAAGCCTGTAGAATCTGACTGAGACCCTGCTCTACCCCCTGGCTGTAGGTGCAGGCGCGTGGATACACACTCACACGCTCCCCTCTCTTTGTTTATAGCCTCACTCGGCTTTGAATCCAGAACTGTATTATCTAGCTTAAAAACTGAAGCTTCTCTCTCACCTGGCCAGAGCCAAATAACATTTTGTTTTTTTAAACCACCTTTTTTAAAGGTAGAACTCTAAGTTTTAGCTGTTTTAATGGCCACCCAAAACTGTGCTTTCATACCTGCCCTGTGCAGTTCTGACGAAAGGGAGGTGTCATGTGGCAGTTTCTGGAAGCCTTCCTCAAAAAGCTGGGCACACACCATTAGCCCTCCATCACCTGCCACCTGCAGTGTGTGGGTGGTGACTGTACTGAAGCCACCTCTTGCACCAGGCAGGCCATGGCCAAATCCAGGGGATGGCAGAGTAGAAAGGTGGAAGGAGCTTGAGTACCTGAAGGCTAAGTGGGGTGGGGCCAGGCTACCAGGCCAAGACTGCCCACCCTGGGAATTTTATGCAAGAGAAAAAACTTCTATCCTATTAGAGCCACTGTTACTTAAAGTCCCTATTACAGACAAACCCAATTCTGGCTTTTATAAATAATATTTAAAAAATAAAACCCATGTTTTCTATAATCAAAGATTTCTTATACTGAAGATACTCAAAAGAATATGTCACTTAAAAACAGGTAATAAGGCCATGCACAGTGGCTCACACCTATAATCCCAGCACTTTGTGAGGCTGAGGCAGGCCAGGTCACCTGTGGTCAGGAGTTCGAGACCAGCCTGGCCAACATGGTGAAACCCCTTCTTTATTAAAAATACAAAAAAAAAAACCACACACAAAAATTAGCTGGGCATGTTGGCAAGTGCCTGTAATCCCAGCTACTCAGGAGGCTGAGGCAGGAGAATTGCTTGAACCTGGGAGGCAGAGGTTGCAGTGAGCTGAGACTGCACCACTGCACTCCAGCCTGGGCAACAGAATGAGACTCTGCCTCAAAAAAAAAAAAAAAAAAGAGAAAAAGAATGGGCAATGGACTTCAGGGGCTTTTCTAAAATAGGCCTGCCACAGATCTCCAGAACTGAATAAGCAATGAGCCTCCCAAGGTGCCCACTTACAAGAGGACAGTATTCACTTGGATGATTAGCTTTAGGGATTTTCTGAATCTGTTGAGTCATTTTCTGAATCATTACGTTACTATCAAATAAACATGGGAGGGCTACACGAGATAAGGACTTAGCATAGTTGTATCATGTCATACCATGCACAGGAATATCTACATACCTTCTGAAGAATTCAAACACACACACACGCACAGCAGAAGGCAGCTAGAAAATGCCTGCTTAGGATCAAACAAGAAAAGCAAAGCGTCAAACAAAAACATGCCTCGAGACTTACGTGGTTATCTTTGTAATAGTAAGAAAGGACAGGAAATCGCCGTCTGCTCCGGAATTTGGAACTCCCCACTATGATGTGTGCCGTGGCCGATTTGGGAACGTACAGTTCAGTAGGATAAGAGTCACAAACCTGTCACCAGAAAATACAAAGGGATTTTTAGGCCATCTAGTAATGCCCTGCGAACTGCCCCCAGAAATTCCACTTCACCACGCTTATAGGTACATCCTTAAGCTCCCTTAACCATGTTACAGAGGAGGCTATTTCGAGGAAAGTCAAAGCCACTTAGAGGAATGAAGTGCTGCTGATTCCATGTAATCATTCTGAAGGAATGCAAGATACCCTCAGTGTTCTGTCCCCGTGCACTGACCCCTCTCGCCAAGGGCTCTTTGTGCAAGACCAGTGACAATGAAGCCTTCTTTTCATCAACAAGAGACAAACTGCAATTCTGCATCCTGGCTGAGAAAACCTGAGCTGCCAGGATTTGGTTGAAAGAATGACCCCGGGAGACAGTTTTCCTAACACATAAGCACACTGGTTAAGCCAGCAGGTTACCTCTGTGGCTCTGACACGCCCAGCGTGCATTCCTGGCCCTGACACATCACGCAAGCTGATGCCTCCCCAGACACTCCTGCCCCCAACCTTCCCAAATCCCATCTGTTCTTCAAGGACCAATCCAAGTTCCACCTCCTTCGAGAAGCTTCTTCCTTGACCTTTCAGTCCATGCAGATTTCCTAATGTGCCGCACGTCACCACGCAATGTAGCAGCTGGATTTTTGTTTCTTATATGTTGATTTGATAAGTGGTAAGAATAGATGTACTCTTTCTACGCAACCCTGAGACTGATTACCACAGTGGAATGGTGCCTTGGAAGGATCTTGCAATTCAGAACCAGAAATCAGCAGTTTAGAACCTGGCTCTGATTGAGCAACTTCATGACCCTGGGGAAGCCAAACTACACGGTGCACTGTGGTCCGCTAATCTCTAGAAGTGATACTGCAGCAACAATATCTCATGGGGTTGACAGATGGATCAAATCCCATAACACCAATGGCAAAGCACTTTATAAACCACTAAATCCAAAACAAATGTTAGTAGTAGCAACAGTGATAGCAGTTGAGGCTACTGTTGCTCAACACATTTTGCTTTCACATCAGTCCATCCATCTTTTCACAATGTGAAGATCACCCACATGGCAGTTTCCTGGGATACGTCAAGCACCTCTTTACTTCCTGGATGTCAAACATCTTCCTAGGCATATCAAGGGAGTCCTCAAGTAGGTGTAACAACAGGGATGTACTAGTCCATTTTCATACTATTATAAAGAAATACCTGAGACTGGGTAATTTATATTGTTTAATGGACTCACAGTTCCACATGGCTGGGAGGTCTCACAAGCATGGCAAAAGGTGAAGGAGAAGCAGAGGCACGTCTTACATAGTGGCAGGCAAGAGACTGTGTGCAGGGGAACTGTCCTTTGTAAAGCCATTAGATCTCGTGAGACTTATTCACTAACATGAGAACAGCATGGGAAAGACCGGTCCCCATGATGCAATTACCTCCTACCGGGTCCCTCCCATGACACGTCGGGATTATGGGAGCTACCATTCAAGATGAGATTTGGGTGGGGACACAGCAACCCATATCAAGGGGAAATACTTTAGCTGCAGGTCCTGTGTCCATCTCCACCCACCTTTATCACTCTGGAAGATGGGGTTGCAGGGATTGAAAACCCACAACTGAAATCCAAGCCTCTTATAAAGTCTTCTGTGATGATGCCTCCCTTGCTGGCCTCCACTGTCGTTGTTACCAGAATGGGGAACAACATAGAGCAGGAAATAAAAGGGCCACAGAAGAGATGTTCACAGGCCCGAAGTGTAATTTCAGGGTTCTACCAGACATTTTAGGAAACAAGATTACCAAAGAGTTTAACATGGGCTGTGGCACTGACACTCTGAAGGAAAATCTGCCAAGAACAGAAGGCTCAACCAACTTGGACTCAGAGAGCTTTAGCTGGGAGTACTGCCATAAAACACTGCACTCCCTCCCCCATGCCAATCTGGTGTCTGAACCTCCATGAAGTCAGCCAGCTAGAACACTATGACATGGACCACACCTGTTTGTCTGAGGTTCAAGAGACATGTAGTCATTGCACCAGACCAACAACATTTTCCTAAAACAACAGTTTTTAAAAGGAAATAAGTAGGTTTTTAGTAAGTTGGAAATTACCTACATTCTTCCTTGTAACAACACTAGGAATTGCAAAGTTTCATGATTAAATAAGAGTAAGCAACGTGCAAGATTTGTCAACATGCTTATTTCACACAGCCTCTTTGAAGAGCAAGAGGTAAGCTGGGAACTTAGGAGCTCCTGCCAGGCCCTTTTATGGCCTTCTAAGGCTAAATAAACACCTAGGTTCACTGGCATCATGGCCCTGTGTGCACCATAGCTGGAATGAGACCAAATAGAGAAAATCAACACCCAGAGCCCGCTCTCCTTGGCCCCAATTCATGGCCTTCTTGATTCACAAAGGAGTAAGGAAGACCACCTCCTGACCTCTAAGAGCACCAGAGCTCTCACTCTACAGGGTAGAGATATGTAGACTTTGATGGCTTGGCACGTGCTAGGATCAAGAGCTCAACAACCTGCGCCCAGCCACCAGTGGCCAGGCTTGCATCAGGTGTGGAGGCCTCCCCTCTAAGAACACAATACTAGTTATGAGGATTTTTGCCTTCCCCGGAGCACTGGGTTTAGGAGAAAAAGTTCCATGGGTCAGAGCTTAACTTATAAGGCATTCTGACGCACACTGGCTTGGAAAACTCTAAGAAGCTAAAATGCCTTTGGGAAGAGCAGATTCAGGGTGTCAGTTAACACATGAAGATACAACCTCTTACCAAGCTAGAAGCATGGATATTTGTCCTGATTTCATCAAAGTAGACAGCACTCTCAAGTGGAAATTAACATAACAATCCTACTTTGAAAATATAAAACACCACTGAAAGGAATTAAATACACAAGTAAGTGGTAAGATACCTTGTGTTCATGTACTGGAAGACTTAAGATTGTGAAGATGTCCATCCTATGCAAAGCAACCTACAGACACAAGGCAATCCTTCTCAAAATCTCAATGGCATTTTTTGCAGAAGTAGAAAAATTCATCCTAAAATTCATGTGGATTCTCCAGGGACCCCAAATAGCAAAAAACAATTTTGAAAAAGAACAAAGTTAGAGGACTTACACTTCATAACTTCAAAATATAGTACAAAGCCATATCTATTTTGCAGCAATCAAACACTGTGGTACTGGAATAAAGACAGACTCATAGGCCAATGGAATAGAGAATCCAGAAGTAAACCTTCATGTGTATGTTCAAATGTTCCTCAACATGGGTGCCAAGACTACTCAATGAGGAAAGGGTAGTCTCTTCAACAAATGGTACTGGGAAAACTGGATATCCACATGCAAAAATGAAATAAAGATGGGTCATATCTTGTATTACATTAAAAAATTAACTCAAAATGGACTAAAGACCTAAACGTAAGACCCAAAAGTATTAAACTCCTAGAAAAGAACATAAGGGACAAGCTTTATGATACTGGAGTTGGCACCGATTTCTTATGTATGACAGCAAAAGCAGAGGAAACAAAATACTAGACAAATGGAACTATATCAAACTTAAATACTTTTATACATCAAAGGACACAATCAAAAGTGAAAAAGCAACCTATAGAATGGGAAACTATTAGTAAATTGCTTATCTTAGGGAAATCAAAATCAAAACCACAACGAGATATTAACTCACAGTTGTTAGGATGGCCACTATTAAAAAATGAAGGAATGAAACCATAATAACACAAGTATTGGTGAGCATGCAGATAAAATGAAACCCTAGTCCACTGCGGGTGGGGATGTAAAATTATGCAGCCACTATGGAAAACAGTATGGAGGCTCTTCAGAAATTTAAAAATACAATTCCTACATGATCCAGCAATCTCACTTCTGGATGTATGTCCAAAACACTTGAAAGCAGAATCTCAAGGAAATATTTGCACAACCATGTTCACAGAGCATTATTCACAGCCAAGAGGTGGAAGCAACCCAAATGTCCATCAAGTGATGAATGGATAAGCAAAATGTGGTATGTCAATACAATGAAATACTCTTCAGCCCTAAAAAGGAAGGAAATCCTATTACGTGCTATAACACAGATGAACCTTGAGGATATTAAGTGGCATAAGCCTGTCACAAAAAGAAAATACTGTATGATTCCACTTATATGAGGAATCTAAAGTAGTCAAATTCATAGAAACGAGAAGTAGAATGATGGCTGCCAGGGGCTGTGGGAGGTGGGAATGGGGAGTTGTTTAATGGGTACAGAGTTTCAGTTCTGGAGATGAAAAGTTCCAGAGATATAGAGTACAACAATGTCAATATACTTAACACTCCTAAACTATACCTTAAAAATGACTAAGATGGCAAACTTTATGTTATGCATTTTTTAATCACAATGGAAAAAGTAAAACAATCTTAGCATTGACTGCTGTCATTTTTGCAACAAGCTCACAGAGTTGTAGTCAAAATTCTGACAATAAATAGTGCACACAATAATGCAACATATGTCACTAATTTTCAAACACCTCAGTATGCCTCTCAAGATTTTGTCTGGTTTGGAAAATGACCTGACAAAATTCGGAGAGAATATGAGAAGTTCAGAGGAATGGAAAATGTTTTTCTCCTGAATTTTCTTCATGTGGACTCTGCCATAGTTAATGAAAGTGGATTAGTAAGTTAATCATTTTACCATTTTTTAAAATGAATTAGCAAACCGATTTTCTGTGTGCTCCACTAAATTAACTGACCTTCCTGGAGTGCCCACATCCCTTGGTGCTGTCCTGGCAAGAGGAATCTTTTGGTAATTCTTTCACTTATTCGACAAGCTTTTACTGAGTACTTATTATATGCCAGGCATTACTCTTAGTTGCAAGGGCAGAAATGAATAAGAGTTTTGGGCCTTGAAGATGTCACACGCCCAGGACAGCTGATCTTTGTTAACCTGGATAGAATCTTCCAGTATCATTGCAGGCTACTAGCCATCTAAGATGCAATCCAAAAGTTTCACTCAGACCTCCAAC